AGTGGAATTCTGAGTGATTGTAATTTTTTTTTCTTTTTGCTAATTTATATCTAAAACTTTTATTCAACAAATGTGATTTACTTGTATAAAGCTAAAATTGGAAAAAAAAAAAACAACAAACATTTCTGAGCCAGAATTGGTAAACTTGATAACTCCTCAGGTATGGGGGAAGAGAGAATGGTGGTAACGGCCAGAAGGGACTTGGGATTCTGTTAGTGGTGGATGGCACCACGGACACAGAGAGGGAGCATGGCTTGAGCAGAGTCGAGTGGGAGAAGATCACAAGTTAAGGCCAGACACGCTGAGTTGGAGGTAGAAATGTCTGACAGGAAGCTGGGAATGTGGTTCTGGAACAGAAGAGAGTCACAGCTACTGAGACAAACGTGCAGTGAAGAGGTCCTTGCATCTCCAGCAAGGAGGTCGTTGGTTGCCTCTGAGAGCCAGTAGGGCAGAGAAGAAGGTCGGGGTGCAGTAGGACGAAGGGTGATGGGTGACAAGGAAGGATAAGCAGGCAATGTAGATCATTTTTCCCGGTGTTGGTGGAAGAAGAAAATGAGCATTTTAGGGTAGAAGACAGACTAGGTTTGGCAGTCGAGATTTAAAATTTTTCAACATAAAATTTAAAAAAGCAGAGGGGCAAGTGTGAATCAATCAAACCAATCACCAAAGTATGTAGAACAAGAGAAGAAATGTGCCTGGACTGGACCTCGGTAAATAAACATAGTTTGGGTATAAAATTCTAGATTGTTGGTTTTCCTCGCAGAGCTTTGAAGATACCGTTTTTACGATTTCCCTTTCTTTCTTTCTTTCTTTCTTTCTTTCTTTCTTTCTTTCTTTTTTAAAAGATCTTATTTATTTATTTGTCAGAGAGAGAGGGAGAGAAAGAGCACAAGCAGGAAGAGAGGCAGGCAGAGTTAGAAGCAGGCTCCCCACTGAGCTAGGAGTCCGATGCGGGGCTCGATCCCAGGACTCTGGGATCATGACACAAGCCAAAGGCAGACACTTAACAACTGAGCCACCCAGGCATCCCTCCCATTATTTCTAGCAGGAAGTAAGCTGTCAGTCTAGATAAGCTGTCTTTCCTCTCTGGGGCTTTTAAGATTTTTCTTCTGTCTTTTATCCTTGTATTTATCTTTTTGGGGCTCATTATGCTTCTGAAGTCAGAGGGTCCACAACTTTCAACACTCACAGGTATCTTCATTCCATAGCCTCTTCCCTTTTCTCTCTTCTGTCCTGTAATGCCGATCTGCTATGTGATAGCCCCTCTAGCTGTGCACAACTCCTCTTAACCTCTTTTCTGTGTTTTTAATCTCTTCATCTTTTTATGATGTGCCTTGATCTGATTTCTTTGTCTTTCAGTTTATTCTTTCTCACTTTTAATTTAGTTATTCTTATGCAGATAATATACGCAAAGAGTTTTTTTAAATTTTTATCTTTTTAAAAGAATTTAGGTTTTTTTTTTACATTTTTTTAAAAGATTTTATTTATTTATTTGCTAGAGAGAGAGAGAGAGAGCAAGCACAGGCAGGCCGAGTGGCAGCAGAGGCAGAGGGAGATGCAGGCTCCCCCCCGAGCAAGGAGCCCAATGTGGGACTCGATCCCAGGACACTGGGATCATGACCCGAGCCGAAGGCAGAGGCTTAACCAACTGAGCCACCCAGGCGTCCCAAAGAATTTAGTTTTAAATAATCTCTACACCCAAGATGGGGCTCAAATTTTAATCCCAAGGTCAAGAGTCACATGCATCACCAACTGAGCCAGCCACATGCCTCCTCACATAGTTTTAAAAGCCAAGGAATTATATAAGACTTGTCACAAAGAATGGTAGTTCCCTGACAACTGTCCCTTATTTTATGATCTCCAGGAATTTTCAGCTCTTTAAACAGACTCTTTTAATATTTGTCTCCACATATGTAAATAACATGCCTGCTTTGCTAACTTCTTGGCTTTTCAGTTGGGGCATCTTCTCCTGGTTTCATACTGTGGGAGATGTGGGCTTTGCTGTCCCTTCCCCACACATCTCCCACCCCAGACATCAGACACATGTGGTTAGATCAGTAGTAAGTGTTTCTGTTTCACAACTGGGAAAATGCTACTCCCTGCTGGACCGTCCCTGCTGGACCGTGATTCATTTCCTTTCCTGCACTTCTTCATCGTTTCCCTGGAGGTCATAGTTGATACTGGGCTTCCTATGTGAATGACACTAATTTAATAACCCTAAACTGCCCTCTGGGTAGATAGCTGTCTTCCCATCACACTCAGACCTGCTACATACTCGGTTGTATTGATGGAGGAAGGTTTTCTTAGAGCCGTGCGCCTGTCCCCGTCTAGACGCTGTCGCACCAGCCCCGACCATGGACTTTCCCTCTGCCACCACACCAAGGGCTTCTTTTGCTTCCTTCCCAAGTTCGATTGCCTGGTGCCTGGATCCCATTTATTTTAGATTGCATAGTTGGATTTCCAATTTCAGTTCAGCTTCAAATGCTGAATTTTTCTTCAGAAATTTGAAGATTTTGCTGCATTTCCTTCTAGTTTCCAGTGCCGCTATTGAAATTTTGACATAATTCTTGCTCTTGCTTCTTGTGTGAAGCCGGTTTTATTCTATCTGGAACCTCATAGGAGCCTCTTTTGGTTCCCCGTGCTCTGAAAGTGGACGGTGAAGTCTTGCTTTGGGACTCTCTCACCACTTGGCAGTCCTTTTTCTCTGCAAACTCATGCCCTTTAGTTCTGAGAAATGTTCTTAAATCATCTTCTGCCCTTTCTTCTCAAAATTCTATCTTTCTGGACCTCCTTCTCTTCTCCTCATTTTCACATCCTCTGTTAAGATAATCCTATCTGTGATTACTTTTTTATTTTCCAGAAGATCATTTTTATACTCTGTTTTGTAAAGTACCATTTTCTTGTTTCTTAATCTGCCCAGCAGTTTCCTTTCTCTGGACAGTCTGTTGCTTTAGGCCTCTGTGTTTCATGTCAGGTTTCCCGGAATGTCTGCGGATCTCTGGCTGTCACTCCGCTCACATTTAAGATGAGACTTAAGCTTCCTATGGACTCTTGGTGGTAAGACGAAGCCATCTATTGGGAAACCTCGCTGTGGGACTCTCTGTATTCGCTCTTGGGCTGGACGGCATCCCCAGAGAAGGCCTTTGCAGTGTGGTGTTAGGATTCCAGGGGCCAAGTAGAAGACAGCTGTGGGTCTCAACAGTCACCTTTCCTCCTTTGGTTCATTGTGATAGCGCCGCCCTCAATCATTTTGCCCCAGGGAGTCATTTCAGTCTCTTGCCACAGCGGTTGGTGGAGAGGAGGAGGGTGCTGGAAAGGGGAGGACCTGGGGGCTTGCTCCCTCCTCACTAGAATTTCAACCAATTCTCTTCTCATCCCACCCTCCTCCACCCCACTCCAGAGCAGCCTGGAACCACCGAGTCCGGAGTCTTCTGAGCTGCTTCCTTGCTCTCTCCCGCTGGCCCAGGGCTCGGGGTCCTTCAGTCTGCTGTCCATAACTCCCCTCTGCTTTCCAGCCTCCGATCCTCTGTCATCTCTTCCCACTTCTGCCCATCCCACTGTACATCCCAGTGCTCCGGAAGCCCTAGAAGACGCTCTCCTATTTCCCCCTGTGCCTGGGAGGGGCACATATCCCCACTCCTTCTACAAAGGGGATCTGTGGGGAAGTTGTCTTTCGAGGATCCTTGCTTTATATGGTGTGACTCCCACCTTCAGTAGCCCAGATTTTGTCTTCTGGCTCCCACAGGAGCAGGCTCTGGGTTACCGGGACCAGCGGACACCCCAGGATGACACTTGGCAGCTACAGAACTGCTTTATTTCATCTCTGATAATCTCCTTTGCTTTCCTCTTGGCTCGACATGTATTTTACTATATTATTTAAAAGAATTCAGACAATAAATATTGAAAGAAAAATGTCTAGGAATTCTGTAACACTGAGGTTTTTACAAACATGCAGTCTACCGTGTTGCCAGCCATGGGCCCTCCTGGCGTCACACGACACTTGTATAGGAGACACATCCGTGTGATGTCCCGAGCTCCCCTGGGCGACCCCTTGAGACGGGCAGGTTAGATGCCACGACTTCCATGTTACAGCTCAGGACGCTGACACGTCACCTCTGTCAGGGAACATGGGGGCCTGGTTTGAAGCTCCCTTCAGTGACTCATGCCCTCACGAGAGAGCGGCGGGGTCTTTTCCAGTCACAAGCGGGAGTGTGGAGTAGCCGATGAACTCCCGAAGCCTCTCTGGGGTGCAGGTTATAGGGAAGACACAGGGAGTCCTCGTCTCAAGGTTGAAGTTTCACGTGAGTTGAGGAAAGTGTCTTATCTTCACCCATGCTGAACCCGCATAAGCCATGGGCCTCCGCGTACCCCTCCTGGACAGTCCGAGGGCAGGTGTCGTAGCCATAAACTCTGACAGGTCTTCTGGGAAAACCCCTTTCTGTGCCTTTAAGACCTCCGGAATCCCAGGGCACAGTGGACACGTCTGGGGAGAGATTGGGCTAAAAGCTGTTCTGTAGACTCCGAATTCACAAACAACCCTTTCATGATAAGAGAGTCTGATAGCAGTGGCCTCGCATGCGGGTTTCTTTCCCCATTCATCTCCTCCACACGCTGACAGGGAGTGGAAGGAAGATGGAACCCAAGCCAGTTTCAGCCTCCAGGCCCCATTCTTTCCACTCGCAGTCACGGTCTGGCCAAGAAGAGGGCTCGGCTTGGCGTGTGTGGGTGGCCGGGGCCGGCGGGGCACTCCGGGGAGAGTGTCCGTGGGCACGAGGTGCAGGGGATGGTGGACAGCCGCGGCCGGGGCTTGGACTGGTTTCTCATTCTCCCTGTCAGTCCCAGGACAGCATCTTCCCAGGTGCTCTAGTTTTCACACAAAAGGAGTCAGAGTCTCTAAATAAGAATTGTGGCGGCCTCCAGCGTGCTGGCCGGCTGAGTCCCCACGCACGCTGCTGTCCCCGCGTGCTGCACCTCTGACACGCTGTGCTGTTGCTTCCCAGGTACTGCGACTGCTTCGCCAGCGGGGACTTCTGCAACAACTGCAACTGTAACAATTGTTGCAACAACCTACGTCACGAAATCCAGCGGTTCAAGGCCATTAAGGTAATATTTTTTCCACCAAAGACATGCATTCTAAAAGTGCCTAAAAGTGCTTGAGATATGGGGTGCCTGGGGGCTCGGTTGGCTAAGCGTCCGACTCTTGGTTTCGCCTCAGGTCACAGTCTGAGGGTCGTGAGATCGAGCCCTGCATCAGGCTCTGTGCTCAGTGGGGAGTCTGCTAGAGTTCTCCCCCCTCATGCTTTGTCTCTCTCTTTTTGCTTTCCCTCTGTTTTTTTAATTAACAAATAATGTATTACTAGTTTCAGAGGTTGAGGTCAGGGATTCGCTAGTTGCATATAGTACCCGGTGCTCATCACATCTCGTGTCCTCCTCCATGCCTGTTACCCAGTGACCCCAGCCCCCACCCGCCTCCCCTCCAGCAGCACTCAGTCTCTCTCCTAGGGCTCAGAGTCTCTTATGGTTTGCCTCCTCCTCTGATTTTATTTTATTTTATTTTTCCCTCTCTTCCCCTATGTTCCTCTGTTCTGTTTCTTAAATTCCACATAGGAGTGAGATCATATGATCATTGCCTTTAACTTATTTGGCTTAGCGTAACACCCTCTAGTTCCATCCAAATGGTTGCAAATGGTGAGATGTCATCCTTTTTGATGGCTGCGTATTAGTCCTTTGTGTCCTGCGACTAATCCTAAAGCAACAGATGGATTAACGTAGCAGACAACTGAGATCCCTCTCACTGAACAGGATTTTTACATAATAAAGTACACTTTGATGGAGTTTTGTGTTTTCTGTCTTATAGGCATGTCTTGATAGGAATCCAGAAGCTTTCCAACCAAAAATCGGGAAAGGGAGGTTGGGAGACGTGAAGCCTCGGCACAACAAGGGCTGTAACTGCCGGCGCTCCGGCTGCCTCAAGAACTACTGTGAGTGCTACGAGGTGAGCCGCCCCGGCCCGGGCGCAGGGGACCCGCCGATGACCCCGGGGCCCCTTTGGGAGCCCGTTGCCCGCCTTGAGCCCACCATGAGCGCCCAGCAGAGGCTCCTGCCCCGTGGCCCGGCCTGCTCCGTGGCAGCAGGTCGGGGGCTCCCAGAGGTGGGCCTTGCCTCCTCCGGGTGGAGTCTCGTCCCCAGGCTGGCGCTCCGAGACCATAGTGGACCGTGCGGCCGCCAGGCTGAGCACACAGCGGGGCAGAGCAGTTCCCAGGCTGGAGTTTCTCGGGGACTCACTGGCCGTAGAGGGGCTCACTCTCTCCCTTCAGCTTCCCCCTCCGTTCCTGGTGTTGGAGGAAAGGGAGGGACAGAGGAAAGGCCCGCAGGCCCCAGCAGTGAAGGAACCGGGAGGGCCCTTCCTTGAAAGACTCTCCCTTGGTGTGCTTGCGGTCTTCGAGGGCGATCTGTGAATTTTATTTGGACAAGGTTGTCCCAGACGGTCAGGCTTGAGAAGAGTCCTCGTGATTCCGGGGACACGTGCTGGAAGCTCTGAGTAAGCAGGCCCAGCCTCCCCCAGCTAGGGTTTTGGAAATGTGGTCATAAGTCATGCCGAGATACAGGATTCAAGCTGTGAGTGCCACCCCCCCCCAACCGTGGAGCAGGTTTCGGATGGTCTTACAGCATTTCTGCCTGATCCTCACCCACTTTCCGGAGGCTGAGCCTCTGCCAGGCAGCAGCCCACATGAGAGGCGGGTGTCCTGTGCTCTCGAGAGTCGACTGGAAATCCTGAAGGGCCTCTTGCTCAAAACATCCAGGGGGCAGAGTAAAACGCAAGAGATACCCTTTGATGTGCATCTCTGAGGGACCCCCCGCAGCAGATGAGACAAAGAGGGAGGCCAGCCTGAGCCAGGGGGAGGCCCCGGCTTGCCAGGCACACTGCCTTGTGCCAAGAAGCCGAGTTCCCCCCACAAGCAAGTGGCCAGGGCCTCCCTTAGGACAGCCACACAAGGCCGGCCCTCAGTGGGTCCCAGCCACACATTCCCTGCAACAGCAGAGCCAGCAGGACACAGGCCCCCCGGGACATGACATGGGCTCGGGTCCAGGGCGCCGCAAGAAAGCAAACACTGCATTCAAGCCGGTCCAGTGCAGGTGTGTGGCTCTGGACTCCACTAGGTGTGCAGTGGCACGAAGACTAAAAGACAAGGCACATTCCTTCGTTAGAAATACTGAGCATCCTCTGATGACCTTAGTTGCCATCCTGGGCACAGATCAGCAGAACAAACATAAGAGTAACGAAAAGTTTGAAATATTGAGAGCATTACCAAAATGAGACAAAGAGCCACGAAGTGAGCAAAGACCATTGGAAAACCTGTGCTGACAGGCTTATTGGACACGGCAGGGTGGGGGGGCACAAACCCCCCATGTGTGGAAACGCAGTATCTGAGAAGCACAATATAGGGGGGTGAGCTGAGAGCTGTGGGCTGGGATCCTAGGACCCGTGTTCCAGTCCAGGCAGCGCTCTGACCCCCCTTTCTGCTCGGGACTCATGCCCACACTCACACGCCAGCCTTCCAAACCCCCTCCCTGTGTCTGTATGAAAACTGCAGATTAAACACACACACACAAAGTTATTTAAGGTCCAAATAGAATGTGTTGTTTTTTGGTGAATTATAGGGCAGTCTAATTTTATTGAAGCATTTTATGTTACCAGGCCAAAATTATGTGTTCTTCTATTTGCAAATGCATTGGTTGCAAAAATTATGAAGAAAGCCCAGAACGGAAAACCCTAATGAACACACCCAACTATATGGAAATTGGAGGGTCTGAAGGCAGCCATCAGTTGTCACCAACTAAATTCTCAGGACCACCAAAATTCAGACAAGATAGGTAGGTACTGTGAACCCACCCTCCGAAGAGGGGAAACAGAGGTTAATTTGAGAAAGTCAGTCTATATACTGGAAAGAGCGTGTGTGTGTGTGTGTGTGTGTGTGTGTGTGTGTGTGTGTGTGTGTGTTTGTGTGTCTCTGTGACAGAGGGAGGGGTGGGGACGATGTGACAGCTCCCCTGCTGGACCAGCCTGAGATCCCACCCGCTGTTTCCTCGGGGGCCCCCACCACGGAGACCGCTCTGTGCCGTCTGTCCTCACGGACAGAGCTACCCACGTTGTAGACAAGCAGAGGGGCCCCGTGAGGATCGCTGACAGGCCAGCACTCCCGGCAGCGAGGGCACGATCTCCGGACCGCCGGCACCTGACCGGCTGCTGGCCGTGTGGGGAGACAGCCTGCCCGCCGCGCTCCTTCCTACGGGGGCGGTAAAGCACCTCACACGAGGTGGACAGCGCCCCACTGAGCTGGGCTGAGGCCATATTAGAACCCCAGCAGATCTCAAAGGTTGGGTGTTAATTTTACTATGTATTAGACTAGGTTTATCCACTTAAAAAAGTACCTTTCAATTCAATGCCTCGTGCGCTATCATGATAAAGTACCAGATGTCACGAATTCATATCATTTTGCAAAGCCGAGTTCGTGCTTATTTGGTCAGAGACACCAGAGGTACTCGTCCCTGGGCGTGCAGGGGTCTTCACCAGTAAAAATCCACCGAATGCAGCCTCCTTGTCTGTGAACGGGGGAGCAGAGATGTTCTCTTGTGGCTCGGGAGCTGCGTGTCCCACCTGGTGTGATGGAGGCTCCAGAGGTCAGAGTCTGGCCTCCAGGCATTAGGGGTTTCCTGGTCGGCCCTGTTTGTTCGTCTTGAACAAGTCATCACGTGTTGTCTGCACGGAGAGATTCGAACCCATCCCAACCCCCGTGTCTGTTCTCATCCTCCAACACTTGCCAGCACTTGGGGAAGTTTTCCTGAATTTCTGGAGTCTGAGCGCGATGTGGGCAGAGGTGGAGCAAAGCCACAGTTGCCCCTCGAGCTCAGAGGGGCCCCGGGCCGGTCCTGCACGACAGAGTCCTGATGTTCAGGGCTCCCAGGGGGCCTTTGTGGGGGGGAACCGTGCCGACAGCGCCCCTCCACGGGGACGAGTCCTCAGGGCGGTTGGCCTCCGGGAGCTCAGGTGCCCCCGGGGCCGGAGCTGGGAGCAGGCTTCCCGGCGCTTCTCTAGGGCCTTGTCTTACCCAAGAGGCCTGCCTCTACCCCTGCCCGGACCCCGGGCTGGACGCTGTCGCCCCGGAGCCCCTGCCGGTTGCAGGGGGCCTCCTCCAGACCGTCCTCAGAGCCTGCGGTGACAGGGGAGTCGAGAAGTGGACGGGTCACCCCTAAAAGCAAAATGCGTATCGTCAAGGTTTCCGGTACGAGGAAGCTGGCGTTAGGCTTCACCGGTGACCCGCTGTAAATCCCGTGACCAGGACGTCCCCTTACCCATAAGGTACTTAAAGCCCTGCGCGGGGGCCGGGCCTGTAACCGCTCTGTTCCCGCCAGGCGCCCGCCCTCGTGCATCTCCTGGGAGGTGGTGGAGGCCGCGTGCGCCTGCCTGCTGGCCCAGGGCGAAGAGGCGGAGAAAGCCCGCTGCCCCGACGGCCTGGCGGAGCAGATGATCCTGGAGGAGTTCGGGAGGTGCCTGTCTCAGATTCTCCGCATCGAGTTCAAGTCCAAGGGCCTGAAGCTTGAGTAGTTAGTGTGGTGCCGCGGGATGCGCGTAGGTCTTGTTTCAACGTGCAGAGGGAAACGCACGCGCAGTTTAGAAAGGTTGTTGGAGGGACACGAGGCCGGGCCTGGTCAGCGGCCGTGTCGCTGAGGTCAGGCTTTCCCTCTGCATCCGGGGGCCGGGGGGATCTACTCAGAGTTCGCGGTGAGGGTCTCGGTGAGGGTCTCGGTGATCACAAACCCCCTTTTGGAGGGAGTGCGGGACGCAGCTCACAGTGGCCGTCTGGCCCCGGGGACAGAGCGGCTCCTGGCGACTCTGGGAGCACGTCCGCCCTGCCGGTGCCGGCAGCCTCTGGGGAAGCAATGACCCATCCCCTAGCCTTCACCCTGTCTTGGAAATTTTCCTCTGAAGGCTTCTCCACCTAAAAAGCTGTAGTGATTTTTCACTAAAAGCATTTTGAAATAAATTCTCCCGATGGGCTGCTAAGATACAACTTAAAATCTCCAGAAAAGTACAGAAAACCTTGAGGAATTCCCAAGTGCGGACGTTTTCCCAGAGTCACACGAATTCTCCACTCGCCTCGGGCCACCCTGAAACACAGGCAGCGCGCTCATGCTCGTGACTGCAAATGACCTAGGTTCTCCTGTGTTTTCATTTGAGTGTGGGAAAGCTCTATTGTCCAATTAATTTCTCCCTAATTACTGTTCTAATATTATTATTGTTTGTTAAAATATGGTTAAAATAACTAGTTTGCAGAAACCAGCAGGTAAGATTAGTTATTAAGTTGACTGTCTTTTGGTTCTATTGGAAAAGCAAAGAGGATTAAAAACTTCAAATGTCTTCCATTGTTGTAATTAACTTAGTAGCTGAAACGTATTGGTCACGTTTCTGTGTTTATGAATAGCTGCGGCCCCTTAGAGCCCGTTTAGAAAGCTCGTTCATGGGCGCCTGGGTGGCTCAGTGGTTAAAGCCTCTGCCTTCGGCTCAGGTCATGATCCCAGGGTCCTGGGATCGAGCCTCACATCGGGCTCTCTGCTCGGCAGGGAGCCTGCCTCCTCCTCCTCCTCTCTCTCTGCCTTCCTCTCTGCCTACTTGTGATCTGTCTGTCGAATAAATACAAATCTTTAAAACAAAACAAAACAAAACAAAAAACTCGTTCATGAGCACAGTGTGGTCAGCACGGAGCCCTGCAGCCGCTCGCGTTTCCTAGAGCTGTATTTGGAACAGCAAATTCTGACGAACCACGAAGGGGAAGAAAAACACTTAATTTTTCACCATTTCAATCCCCCTTTGGCTCCTTTGGATTGAGATTCGTGGCGGCAAGCCGGAGGCAGAGCCCCGAACGGATGGGGAGGGGGGATCTGCCAGGCTGGGTGCCCTGTTGCCTGGCGTGCTTTGGGTCCCATGTGCACCTGCCAGAAGAGCCGTGTCCACATCACCCCTGGGGCTGTGGGTGGGGGTCCTGACACAGGGCTTCGTGACCCCTTCCTGGGAGGCGGCCTTCCCTCTGCATCTCTCCTGAGAGCTGCCCGTGGCAATGTCTGCAGACCATGCAGGTAACTTAAAATTTTCTGGGAGCCACATTTTAAAAAGTGAAAAGGAGTAGGCGAAATTTATTTTGATTATCCTTCATCTACTGTCATTTCAACATGTAATCAAATAAACATGATGGATGGTCTGCGTTCTTTTGTATGTACCAAATCTTTGGAAACCAGTGCGCGTTTTACACCCACATCTCAGCACACACCCAGGAGCTGCAGGGCTCAGGTGTGGAGGGAGGCAAAGGAAACGCCATTCTCCAGAACTATTCTGAGCCAAGAGCTCCCCAGAAAGGCCCTGAAGCCAGGCGTGGCCCACCTGCAGAGCCCGGAGAATGTCCTGGCCGGGGAGGAGGGTGAGCATCCACCTGGGGTCGGGGACCCGGCATGACCCTGGAGCTGCCCAGAGCCCAGGCTCACGTGGGGCGAGGGAGATTCCGGCTTCAGCCAGGGATACCGAGCCGAAGCCTGAAAATGAGGGAAGGGGCACGACCCCAGAGCGTCTCTGGCCAGTGAGAATTTCATAAGCCCATACAGCTTGGAGGAAATTCAGTATGAGAAGGGAAAGCCAAGTAGGGCTGTGTATCAAGCCCGCGTGTGTTGCCCAGAGGTGACAGCTACATAGACGACTAAAAAGAGAGAAAACAGCTCTTCTGTTGCTGGTAAAGAGCCGACGCCGTATGAAAACTACATCAAACTAAACACAGCGTGTCCCCACTTCGGGCTGTAGCTGTGCAAAGTGACTCTCTCTCTCTCTCTCTCTCTCTCTCTCTCTGTGCTCGGCCACCTCTGTGATCGGGGCAAGACGGTTGGGTTTTCAGGGCTGGGGTCTGGTTTTGCTTTTCCCCAAACGCAGCTTAGCTTAAACCTTGCCCTTTCGAGAATCTGAGAGAAAGTCCTAACACATGACGTGCTGAAAGAAAGCTGCTTGTCCCCTCAGGACACTTTGACACCACACTTGGCATTTCCCCTCTGCCCATCATTCTCCGTTTCTCAGACACCGGCGGGATGTCCTGTTACTCCTTCCGTCGGTCTGACACCAACTGTCTGGAGTCAGTGTCGGAGTCCCCAGGGGAGGGCTCGGTCCCCCCAGACCACCCCCAACCTCGCACACCAGTTGCCAGTACTGGACCCCTGGGGGGAACCCGCACACTTCCGTCTGACTTGGCTGCCACTGGAGGTCCCCAGGGCCCACCTTCGAGTCTGCGGCTTCGCTCTAACTGCTCACAGAGCTCAGGGGGACACTTGGCCTACTATTACCGACGATCGTAAAGGCTATTCAGGGATGATAGGAAGAGCGGGATGAAGAAGGCCACAGGGCAAGGTTTGGGAGCATACTCTGTCCCCGGGAAGCTGGGGTGCCACCATCCTGGCAGGTGGCCGTCACCAGCCCGGAGACTCGGAACCCTGTGCTGTCGGGCTGTGCATGGTCGCTTCACGTCAGAGGCACAAACAAGTATCCGCTCGATCTCCAGCCGCTCTCCCCTCCCCAGAGCATGTGACTGGGTCTTTCTGGTGACCAGCCCCCAGCCAGGAGCCCACCCAGAGTCCCTCATTAGAACAAAAGACACTCTGGCCACCCAAGAAATTACAAAGGTTTCAGGAGCCCCGTCAGGAACCAGTGCGGAGACCTAATCCGTATTTCTATGTTACACATGCTCAAAGCGTTCTCCTCAGTTAACCATGAGCTTGTAAACAACGCAGAAAACCTGGGAACCTGTGAATCCTCCTGAAGAGAGAACCTTCTGCTGCTGGAAAACATCAGCGGGAGCCTGTCTGTCGTCCTTGTCTTGGCGCCGAAGCTCTTCCTCCCTGACACAACCCTGTGCTCGTCGCCTGAACTTCTGCCGACCTCCAGCGGGGATACGGCTGAAAACCACCACAGACGAGTTAACGCGCAAGCTGGGCTAGAGCATGGTTTAGGGAACGGAAGATGGAAGTTTCTTCTAAGATAAAGATGGTGCCCGGGGCATCAGTTGGGGAAAAGAAGAACCACTGGAGGAAGGGGCGGTGCCTTCTGCGGGGCGCGCTCCCTACAGAGGCCCGTGGGCAGAGTTCAGTGGGACACCAGCGTCACGCTGTCGATGTTCTGGAGCTTGGCCCTTCCCTGACGGCGTGTGATGTCATTTTCAGGTGCTTGCGTGCCTTCTGTGCACCCTTTCTAGTGAGGTGTCTGTCCAGGCCTTTTGCCCATCTTTTAACTGGGTTGTTCAATTTCCCATGGCTGAGCTTTAGGAGTCCTTTGTATATTTTGGATAGCAGTCCTTTATCAGATCTGTATTTTGCAAATATTTTCTCCTAGTCAGGGCCTTTTCTTCTCATTCTCTCCATAGTGGCTTTCGCAGAGCAGAAGTCTCAAATTTTAATGACGTCCAGCTCATCTGTCATCCTCTAACGGATCATGACTTTGGTGTATCTAAAAAGTCACTGCCATGCTCAGTCATCTAGATTTTCTGTGTTATAGGAGTTTTATAGTGTTCGATTTTACATTTGTGTAGATGGTCTATTTTGAGTTAATTTTTGTGAAGTGTGTAAGGTCTGTGTCCGGATTCTTTTTTTTTTTTTTTTTTTTTGGTTGCATGTGGATATCAGGCTGTTCTAGCAGCTTTTTTTGGAAAAAACTATTTTTGCTCCATTGTGTTACCTTTGTTCCTTTGTCAAAGATCAGTTAACAGTATTTATGTAGGTCTAGTTCTGGGCTCTGTGTTTCATTCCATTGGTCTGTTCATCTGTTCTTTTGCCAAGACCACGCTGCCCTAGTTACAGCTTTACAGTAAGTCTTAAACTCAGGTAGTTGTCGGTCCCTCAGCCTTGTTCTTTTTTTGCAAGACTGTGTTGGATATTCTCGGTCTTTTGTCTCTCCATATAAACCTTAGAATCTGTTTTGCCGCAAAATAACTCTTAGAGGGTTTAACTGGGGTTGCATTGATTCTATAGATCAAGCTGGGAAGAATGGACATTTCGAAAATACTGAGTTTTCGTATCCATGAACATGGGATATTTCTATTTTTAGCTCTTCTTTGATTTCTTTCATCAGAGTTTGTGGTTTTCCCATGTGGAACTTATACAGGTTTTGTATGTATTTCGTTTTTTGGGGTGCTAACATAAATGATATCACATTTTTAATTTCAAACATCACTTGTCCCTTGGTGTTATATAGGAACTCAATCAACTTTTGGGTTTTTCCTAAAACATTTACTTATTATTTGAGAGAAAGAGAGCAGGGGGGGAAGGGCTGCGATGGGCATGGGGAGAGACTCTCAAGCAGTCTCCCCACTGAGCAGGGAGCCCGTCATGGGGCTTGATCCCAGGACCCTGAGATCATGACCTGAGCTGAAACCAAGAGTCGGTTACCCAGGGCGTCTGGGTGGCTCAGTGGGTTAAGCCTCTGCCTTTGGCTCAGGTCATGATCTCAGGGTCATGGGATCGAGGCCCACATCGGGCTCTCTGCTCAGCGGGGAGCCTGCTTCCCCCTCTCTCTCTGCCTGCCTC